TTGTTGGTTCTTTCTATTTTATCTTTTTAGTTGCTTTCACGTCTTTCGCCTTGCTGTTCTCGTATAAATCCGTTTTAGCGTTTCATTATTTACGTTATTTACATTGTTCGGACTGTTGCCCTCATCTTTATTGCCATATTCACGACTTTCCGGTCGCTTTATGCTCCGGCTTCCTTCAGGAGATTGGAATTTCGAAGTGAATCCTTTATTTCGTTCACCGGGCTGAATTGTTCTCGTTTCACGTGCCATGCCTCTTCCCGATATCTCAGTTGTTTCCCTTTAACTCAACTCTCCGATTTTTTGTTCACCACTGCAATAGCCAGGTATTGAACTCACAACTGTTTGGATTAAGTCACTGGATCCAACCAACGCCTTTATCCGCTGAACTAAATGTCCTTAAGAACAACAATCCGAACAATGTCAATAATTTTAATACCTCATCTTTGAAATATAGACAGAGTAGTGTTTCATTAATTCCGTTTTTTGTTCTCATTCCTTTTTTGTTACCTGCGTTTTTTTTAATTTTTTTTTTATAATAATTTTATTCCATTTGATTCTTCCTCCGAGATGCTAAATTGACTTGAGATTAAAATTACATGTACATATATATATATATATATATATATATATATATATATATATATATATATATATACGTATCAGCTAAGTTTTCAAAAATATTACATTAAATATAAAAAAGCAACTTTTGGTTGTTCTGCTATATATCTAAGGATTCCTGACAAAATACAATAAAGAATCTGCAATTTTAACTGTCCTCGACAGACATCTCGGAGTCAGTCACTTCCCACCGTCGTAACGTAGCATTTTCTATAAATATTTTCGTGTTAATTATTCTGATTTGCTTTTCTCTTTCGCATGATGGATAGGAATTCCCTCAATGTTTCTTTGTCTTGAACGTCTATTGGAACTCAGGTTATTCCAAGACTTCGAGAGAAATTCATATATCCGAGTCATTGCTCTTGATCCTAAAAAGACGGTTAGTTCCTTGTACCATTCCAGTAAGTATCTGTCTCATTCTGCAATCAAATACCTTTACAAGAGCCACATCAAACCAAAAATGGAGTACCTCTGCCATATATGTAAAAGAGATGTCTAGTCATCACGTACCGGTGTCTATATGATCCAAAAGCGTCTCCGCGTCCATGTGGGTGACGAATTATTTTCCACCCTACAACTTCTTTTCCCACAGACGAAAGGTGGCGAGCCTCTCTCTGCTTCTATCGTTATTTCAATGAAAAATGCTCAGACGAACTCCACTTCTTACTTCCACCAGGTTCTAACCTTCACGGCTAAGACACACCATTGAAGCGAACCTCTCTCAACCCCTTTCGTATTCCACTGGGGAGATGTAAGTTCCACACGAGTAGCTTCTTCCCACGAGCTGCTGATTTGTGGAACTGGCGCCTAAATGATGCCTTTTCGAGTCTTACAATTTTAATCTGTTCAATTTTAAGATCAAACATTATCTTCCCCACATATACCCCCTGTACCGCTATCCTCGAGTTGTTCGTAGGTATTGTACAAGATGAACACCATTGTAAAAAAAATAAAATAAAAAATGTAAAACTGATTAAACTAAGATAATAAACACGTTAAAAATGTCGTAAATCGCCTGGAAAATTCTAGACGGATGGTTTGATTCCCTCACTTGACTCTCTAAGTAAGATGATTGATAGACTGATTAATAGATCGATTGATTGATTAGTGTTTTCAAAGATTAGCAAACGCGCATACGAAACGCTTGAGATTCTAGGAATTATCAATAAATCAAGAAAGAATAAAAACAACATGTCCGTAAATATTGATAAAGCCGTAGATAGCCATAAATACAAAGGGCGAACAAATTAATGAATATAGGTTTTTATGGTTGGGCACGCGCACACACGACACTTGAATGGAATCTGTCATGGTTCAATATTGGTGTAACAGATGGTTGCTTCTGTTGCCCCGGCAGATTACGTATTTCTCCATCAACTATCGAAGCATGTTCATCATATATCCTTGTTTCACAAAGTTGCTGGAAAAATGACGCCTGTACGCTCCATTAAATACCTTACATCCTGCATTACTCCAACCTTACAGATCAGACCAAAAAATGGAGTAATATTGTCATATATGAACAAGTGCTGTCTAGTTTTCACGTTCCGGTCCCTATAGGGTCCAAAAGCATATTCTGGGAGACGAATTATTTTCCCCCACCTTCAACCCGTTTCCCACAAAATGAAACGTCGCGAACCACTCGCTGCTCTATCGCTAACTGGGACCCATGTATAGTACACAAGAGAAATTCATCCATATTCCCTTAGTATTCCTATAGAAAGAAACAAGTTCCATTCGGAAAACTTCTACCCAATAACAAAATACAAAGAATCTGCAATTTTATCGGTCCTCAATAGGCATCCCGGATTCAGCCACTTTCCTATCGCCGTAACGTAGTTTCCCTACGCCTTTTCTATAAATATTTTCCTGTTAATTATTCTGAAGAGCTTTTCTCTTTCGCACATATGATGATGGATATGGGTTCTCTCAATGTGTCCTTTTGTCTTGAACGTCTATTTGGACACAGGTTATTCCAAGACCTCGATTGAAATTCATGTATCCGAACTATATCTACTGATGCTAAAAAGACGGTTAGTTCATTGTACCATTCCAGTAAGTATCTCACTCATCCTGAAATCTTTTACGTTTACACGAGCCAGATCAGACCGAAAATGGTGTACTTCCGTCATATATGTAAAGAAGCTGTCATGTTTACACGTTCCGGTCACGATAGGGTCCAAAATCGTCTCTGCGTCCTTGTGGGTGACGAATTATTCCCCTCCACCTTCAACCCGTTTCCCACAAACCAAATATCACGTACCATTCGCTGCTCTATCGCTAACTGGGACCTATGTATAGTACACAAGAGAAATTCATCCATATTCCCTTAGTATTCCTATAGAAAGAAGCAAGTTCTATTCGGACAACTTCTACAGAATAACAAAATTCAAAGAATCTGCAATTTTATCGGTCCTCAATAGGCATCCCGGATTCAGCCACTTTCCTATTGTCGTAACGTAGTTTCCCTACGCCTTTTCTATAAATATTTTCGTGTTAATTATTCTGAAGAGCTTTTCTCTTTCGCACATATGATGATGGATAGGGGTTCTCTCAATGTGACTTTTTGTCTTGAACGTCTATTTGGGCACAGGTTATTTCAAGACCTCGATTGAAATTCATGTATCCGAACTATTTCTACTGATGCTAAAAAGACGGTTAGTTCATTGTACCATTCCAGTAAGTATCTCACTCATCCTGAAATCTTTTACGTTTACAAGAGCCAGATCAGACCAAAAATGGAGTACTTCCGTCATATATGTAAAGCTGTCTAATTTTCACATTCCGGTCATGATAGCGTCCAAAATCGTCTCCGCAGCTTTGTGGGTGACGAATTATTCCCCTCACCTTTAACCTCTTTCCCTCAGACGAAACGTCGCCAGCCTCTCGCTGCTCTATAGCTAACTGGGACCCATGTGTCGTACACAAGAGAAAAACATACATATTCCCTTAGTATTCTTATAGAAAGAATCAAGTTCCATTCGGACAGCCTCTTCTTCCCAATATCGGCTGCTCTGTAGAACTCCCGGCAACACTGGTGTTATCCTACTGGTTTCTTAGCGTTTTGAACCGGTTCACGTGAGCCGCTTCTTAAAATTATAAATTTTAGTGGCTCTAGTGCCTTGTATTAGGTGAACATTAGTATAAAAAATAGCAATAGAGATTTTCAGAAATGCATTGCCAATCAGAGAATAAGATAGACTACATCCGCGTCCTGGGTAAGATGATAAACTACATCCACGTCTTGGATAAGACGATTTACTACATCCACGTTCTGGGTACCACGATAAAATACATCCGCGTCCTGGGTAAAACGATAAACTACCTTAATCTTAAAATACATTCTGCCTTTAAATAATCTGCAAAGGGTTGATAAACCGTAGAAAACGAATGATTTGAGAACTGTGATTTTATTTTCCATTTCTCAAGTACTTTCGATCTTCTTCCGAGATCATCTTCAGGGCTGTACGTAGTAATAAAAACAGTGTGTTCTTCAGGAGTGCGAATAATTATACAAAACTGTGCTTTTTTGATATCCATTATTGTAATTTTTTCTTTTTACTTTCAAAAGCATCGGTTGAAAGTCATGCTTACCTTTGATTAGAACGTGAAAAATTTTACCAGTATGGAATTTTTTCTTCTGTTTTATAATGGCATGGTCACGCGCTTTAAAGCGTGAAAAACTGTTCTTTCATCGACATTTCAGAACATTACTACAGTATTTGTAATTGATTCTATTAGGTGACGGCTTTAAATTTTAATGTATATTGCTTCGAGGATCTGTAGTTTGAATTTATTGTTTTCTTACTGTAGGATAGTTATATTGTCGATTAGTATTTTTTTGTAATGTGAATGTGAACAGGAATGATGGTGGAGATGTCTCGCAATGAACGAAAGGTCAGATCTGCATAGTGTAAGATGCGTTTGTCAGCCGTAGCAGTTACATGACAAAGAAAAAAATATTATTCGATAGCTACTCATAGTTTTTGCCTTAACAATAGCATCCCTGATGATGATCTGAGAAACAGATGAAAAGTATTTGGGAAATAAAAATGATTCTCAAGATTACAGTGCATTTCTTGACGTACTCAATTGTAATATACGGAAAAATATTCGTGAATTTGAAAGGATTATGATAAAAATAAGCAGATTTATTAATTTATTCAATCAGACTAGCCTAAAAGAGAATTTGCTACCTAAATACAAATATATATATATATATATATATATGTGTGTGTGTGTGTGTGTGTGTGTGTGTGTGTGTGTGTGTGTGTGTGTGTAAAGTGTATATAAATATAAATAAATATAAGTATGTATAATTATTTATATATTATATGCGCGGTACTTATTAGAAAGCGCTCAATATCAGAGATAGAGCTAACATAATTGGTTGGATAGATGTGAGTTTGTGACCCTGGGAGAGAGAGAGAGAAAGAAAGAAAGAAAGAAAGAAAGAAAGAAAGAAAGAAAGAAAGAGAGAAAGGGGGATAGAATTTGTCAAACCTGTACACCTCAATTACATGACTAATCACATTTTTAAACACATTCTTCTTTCGACATTCGATTTCTTTCTTCCTTTCTCTCTATCTCTCTCTCTCTCTCTCTATATATATATATATATATATATATATATATATATATATGTGTGTGTGTGTGTGTGTGTGTGTGTGTGTGTGTATATATATATATATATATATATATATATATATATATATATATATTATATATATATTTTGAAGAGCATCAGCCACTTTTTTCAACCCAAGCAGACAACAGAGAGACTTCGACATGCAGCCCACATGTTTGCAATCATCAAACAAACTCCAGCACCGACGACTTAGAACCTCTTCAAAGAACACTTACAACTAAAGTAGTGAGCACTTTTTAAAATATTTTTTCATCATCCTGCTACCCTATAACAGACCCCCACCTCACACACGGCGACACTTCTTATTCTAAGCCCCCACAGTCATTTGAGCAGCTGGGTAACTTAGGGGCAAACTTTTCACAGCTTCATTGACCGCCACCCGCTCCAAACGAGACACAACATCTTATCGTCTGCATTTGATACAAGGGATGGTTTGGCGGGGTGTCGGAAAACTATATTTCTCACACTCGGCTGGTCCGTATTAAAGAAGTCTGTAGATTATTTAAGTCCATTTATCTAAATCTATATAATTGTATAATAAAAATGTCACTAGATGTTATCAATTAATGATTTAAAATGTTAGTGTCATTTAACGCTACTAATTGTGCCAATTAAGATCGTTTTCAGATTTCGATAGTTTGATTTTTCGGGTTAATGCTTGACAAACGAGACAAGTCTTTAAACGTGGTGATTGTTCGAACGTCCAAATTCGTCAAAATACATTCTTCAATTTATATTATTTATATCATCATCAGACACATAGTCGTTTAGTCTATAGCGCCGCTGCGTAGAGGAGACTATGACCAGCTCCCTACATATGTCTCGGTTGCGTGCCAATGTTAATGAACTTCCGGTCCACTCGGTGATGTCGTCAGGGGATTTTCCTCCGTTCCGATTTTTTTTTTATTTTGAAACCTTGTTCGAGATGGATTTTTCTTTAGCGACATAAAAACCTGTATGGACAATTTAGTAGCAAAATCTAAATATTTTGTACATAATTTTATAATTTTAGGCATGTTTAGATGTATAGTTTGCAGATCATAAAATGTATTGTTGGTATTTTTTAATATATTGCTTGTAATTTTTTTTTTATATAAAATGCATTTTTTTTGTATGAAATGTATTTTTATATAAAATGTATTTTTCGTATAAAATACATTTTTTATATAAATATATTTTTATATAGAATGTGTTTATTTATATAAAATGTATGTTTGTATGACAGGTATTTTTATATAGATAGTATTTTATATATAAAATGTATTTTTATATAAGATGTATTTTTATGTAAAATGTATTTTTTATATAGATAGTATTTTTATAAAAATATATTTTTCATATAAAATGTACTTTTAATAAAATGCATATTTTATATAAAATGTATTTTTATATAAAACGTATTTTTACATAAAAATATTTTTACATAAAATGTATTTTCTATATAGAGTGTATGTTATATAAAATGCATTTTATATAAAATGTATTTCTATATAGAATGTATTTTTATATAAAATGTATTTTTATATAAAATATTTCTATATAAAATGTATTTTGTATAAAAATATTTTATATACAATTTATTTTCTATATAGAATGTATTTTTAATATAGAATGCATTTTTCATATAAAATGTATTTTTATATAAAATGTATTTTTATATAAAATGTATTTTTTCGTATAAAATGTATTTTTTAATATAAAATGTATTTGTTAGTGTTGCACTGATTGCTATTTTGTTATAAAAATTTATTTTTGGACTCTTTACTTTAAAAGTGCCCTGCTGATTTTTGTGAGTGTTTTTACTATTTGTCCACAGTTGCGACCCTAACAGGTGCTACATGGGAATAACATCAAATTAAGAGGTGGCTTCAAGTTTCTCAAAACGTCAAATCTTCCGATCAGAGGCCTTTAAGCCAGATATAGTTTATCGTCTTACCGAGGACGAGAAAACTTGTTGAATGCGAGTGGACTGATCATTGGTCCTAATGACGAGGCCATACAATTTCAACTTTCTCTTATTGACGATGATTGTTAACTCTTATATTGCGCCTGTTTCTTGTTTGATGGTGTTTCGAAGTCTTGTAATAAATATGGCGAAAAAGATGAGGACAATAGCCCGAATAATGTAAATATTGTACACAATACCTCATCTCAGAAATATAAACAGATACCGAAGAAGGCCGGAGTGTACAATGGCCGAAACGTTGTGATAAATATGGCGACAAAGATGTGGACAATTATCTGAATAATGTAAATAGTGTACATAATACCTCATATCAGAAATATAGACAGATACTAATTTTTTCTTGTTTCTCATATTCAACGAATCATGTTTAAAAGAAAGGTCGCCGCCCAAATATACATTATTAATCTATATATAAGCATTGGATATTTGTCCGTCCGACAAAATGTTTAATTTCTAAAAAAAAAAAAAAAAAAAAATCATCGAACATCTGTGGGGATACAGGAACAGGTGTCCCAATATGCTGTGGTCTTAAGTCATTGAATATATGATAAAATCTTTCAGGATGGAATATCACTCTGGCACAAAGGGAGCAATAAATTAGTTTCGGAAAAGAAATTCAAAGTTGACATTTTTCAGAATTCTTCGAAATTAAGGGAACAGTCGCGAAAATTTGGTGCAAATCGAGCAACATAGATTTTAGGAAAATTAATGACAAAGTGGAAAAACGGACTTCATCGAATTAACTTGATGTAACTAACCATATGGACTAAGGGGAGGGAACTCTAAAATTTGAAGTTTTTAAAATGTACTTTTCTTTTTTAATATGTGTTTAAATTTACCTAATTTAATTTCGTTCGTTTTTGTCAATATTTTCTCACTGCTATTAATTATTCCACATTGTGACAATAGGATATCTGCGATGAAAGGTGAAACTGAATGCAAATTTTCAGTGTATGCCCTAGCGATCAAAGCACATTCTATACAATTTCGTCTCTTTTAATTAGACTGATTACAGTGAGGAAATACTGTAACGAATAGATACGGAGACTCCTATCAATCACTGTCCGCAACATACATCTAGAAAATAGAAACTTAATATACGTATACACATGCAAAACAATGGCTAAAATGTTGGAAGCATTAAAGCTAAAAAAAATTCAATAATATCAATTAAGAACTCAGCTACAACGTGCTAACCATGTTCGAAACTTTAAAAAAATGCCATGTTCATAATCTCTCATCGTAGGGACTTTCTCAAACAATATTTAGTTGGACTGTTGTGACTTTGTGACACTGGGTTCCACGCTGACGATCGCAAATAGCGTGAAAGGCAGGTCACAAAAATCAACCCTACTAAATATTTTAGATCTATCACTGATATTGAGCGACTTCCAATAAGTAACGTATATATATAAGATATATATATATATATATATTGCATACACATATATATATATATATATATATATATATATACTTACACACACACACACACACACAGATACACACACACACACATATATATATATATATATATATATATATATATATATATATATATATGGTGTATTTGGGGAACAATCCCTCTTTAATAATTCCATCGCTAGATCACCTGCTAAGAAATTTTGGGGCGAGACGATTTGCTTAATTATAAGTCCATGCTTAGAAAGTTGCTGCCATATATGGTCAGGGGTCCCTGCTATTTTTCTACAGCTCCTCAAGATCCATAAGAAGAATCAACAATATTATTGGTTCTCGTTTGCAGCCACGGCTTCAGTAACTTAGTCTCCGCCGTAAGGTTGCCTCTCTGTGCCTTTCTTATAAATATTTTCATAGTAATTGTTCGGACTAGATTTTCACTATGATACCTAAACTGCATGAATTTAAATGCATTATTTGACTGGCGGCGAGATCTCATCAATTTACAGTTGAGCTAGCTAGATGGAGCTGTAACTTCTGTAATGACAGTTTCTTCTCTCGCACTTTGAAAAATTGCCATGTTCATGATCTCTCAAATAAGCAATTAGAGCTTCATCTTTCCAGGTCCACTGCTGATGTACTAGGGGTAATTCTGGAAAGTGTCTATAAAGCTCTATTAAAAACGGTTAATTCCGGGCTGTAGCATTGGATATGTCTAAAGCCTTTGACAGGGTTTGGCATTCAGCTCTTTTCCACAAGCTGAAAAGTGACGGTATCCCTGGGCACCTTTTTGAGTTGATCCAATCGTTCCTATCAAATTGTGAAATGAAGGTTGTCCTGAACGGCCACTCATCTACATCCTTTCGTACGAACGCAAGTGTTCCTCAGGGCTCCATCCTTGGTCCTACACTGTTTTTAATCTTCATTAACGAACTTGTCGATGACATCAACTCTCAACTTGGTATCTACGCTTACGACACTAACATTGACTGCTACCTCGACAGTAAGGCTGATCAGGCCGACAAGGTCAAAATGGAAGCTAATGCCCCGAAAGATTTCAAAATCGTCCTTAACGAGGGAAAACGATACCTTGTTAATTTTAACAACTCCAAAAGTAAACTTCTCTCGATTAATCATCTGCGAGACCACCCTCTGCCTTCCATCAGCATGGCCGATGCTATCCTCCACGAGAGTGACTCATTGCAACATTTCTGTCTAACTTTCTCAATTGACATGAGGTGAAAAGATTATATTGAATTCATTAGTAGGTAAGCTGATAAGAAAATCGGTTCGGTATGCCGGGGAGACAATTTTTCTTTCCGAATCTGTCTTGCATATATATAAGTCTACCATTCGTCCATCCTTAGAATATTGTTACTATATATTTTCCAATGTCTTTGCTATTTATCTGGAGCTCCTTAGTAAGATCCTAATCAGAATCAGCAATATTATTGGTCCGATCTGGATGTC